TGTGTTTTGTGCTGTAGGAGTAAATAAAAACCTATCTGGCATGACCAAACAAAGGAAGTAGAGCAGGATTTGAAAGAGGTCCAAGTTTGCTGGGTGAGAGATTCTTTTTAATGAGTGTAATCTTTCTATTGGGGTTTACATCACAATTTAATCCAAACCCCCAACAGTAAAATGACATCTGCTGTTTAAGCTGTTCTGTAAATACTTTTAATGGTTAGAAGCCATCTGAAGGGATTTTTAGGAAGGGATGGCAGCTTAACTGAAAATAAAATTGACTCTGGTGCAAATCTATGGATAAATCACTATATTATATACTAAACTCCAGTCACTGGAAACACCTCCATTCATTCTTCTAAAATTGAGTAGGTAGTACATTTTTGCAAAGAATGATTTATAAACCAACATTGTAACGTGAAAAAGATGTACTTTTAGAAATGACAACAGGGATGTATACAAGATGGCCAATTTTTGCTTTTAGTTTCAAGATCTTCACTGTTGTTTAGATTTATACTTCAACCAGAAAAACTCAGAGGTTTAAGTGGTTCATTTATTCTGATTTTCAGTCCAAAAAAGAATAAAATGTTCAAAAGCAAAAAAATCATTTTTTTGAAGAACAATAAATCAAATTTCGAAGTAGTTAAAAGAAGGAATGTGTAGATTCTATACCTGTAAGGTTTTATTGTTTGCTTTTTACTGTCATACCTGTGCAAAGAAAATAAAAGTAGATAAAGTATATAGCTTTCATCTACATTTAAAACAAGCACATAATACAGCCTTACTGCATTTAGTAAGGTAGTAAAATGCATATCAGTGCAGCACCTGAGAACACTCCACCCTTGACCTCCTTTCTGACAAATTGTGCACCCTGCTAAATTGTAATCCAGGTGTGTCCAACATTTTGACTTTCCTGGGCCACATTGGAAGAAGAGGAAATGTCTTGGGCCACATATAAAATACACTAACAATAAGGATAGCTGTAAAAGTGGCACATTTTAGAACTATCAGAATTTGGTGAAAGAGTCGCTGTCATAACCAAAAGTGTCACAAATGCTTCATGAATTTGGCATAATACATTAACAAGAGGGATTAACACCAGAAAAGTGGCGCAGCAGCAGCTCTATTGAATTTCCCCAAGGTGTTCTAGTTTCCATTTGATAAGAGATAATTGTATGTTGTAAATAAACAACTCTGAAATTGCAGCAATAGATTATATATATGTGATTTTGCTCACCAATGGCACACTGTAGCAGTATTTCTCCTATACGGCAGTGCGGAAGCGGGTAACACTAATAGAAGTCAGAAGACTGCTCTATACTGCTGCTGAGAAAAGGTATTTAGCAGTTTACTTAAACTAAGTTTACTAAAATAATTGCATTTCCATGTTGTGTGTACTGTGGGAAACCAGAAATAGTGAATGCAGGGTCCTGGGTTTAGTAATACATTAAGAGTGTGGATAATGTTAAAGGGTGCCTTGACTGAAAAAAGGTTGAGAAACACTGCTATATTGTTTGCTCTGATGAGTAATGTTTGTCATATGGAAATCTGGGCAAGAGCAGTAGAAGACTTTACGAGAGTGAGGGATAATCTATATGATATTGAATCTGAAAAGAATGCTAGTCTATCCAGACATTAGAGGCAGATGCTAACTAATATAGATTTATTGAAAGTACACAGGGGTAAAATTAAAGGACAGGGGTAAAATAAAATAGACATTATAAATGGACCCTCTTCTCTCTCCTTACCTCTATTCAGCTTTCCTCCTTTCTTTTCTTCTTCACATCTTTCTCTCTTCATTTCCTATTCCCCTCATCCTCCTCTTTTACCATTTCCTTTTTTTTTTTCTCTCCCTTCTTTATTTCTTTCCTTTCTTTTTCTTTCTGGTCTTTTTTTTTCTTTCCTTCTCCTTACTCCTCCTCTACCCCCCACCCCTTTTACCTTCTTTCATTTTCTATTTTCTTCCATGTCTTCTATCCCAATTCATTCCTTTGTCTCCCCTCTACTTTTTCCCTCTCCTCAACCCCCCTCTTCCCCCATAATTTTTAGTTCTTAGATCTCCATATTAATAAGTTAACAGAGATACAGTATATAGAATAGGTTTTAGGAATATGCTAAAGATTGTTTAATCCAATGGTTATAACCATATTTTTTAAGCTATATGTTATTGGGAAGAAAGGTTGGTTTTAACAATGGGGTGGAATATAGTTGCTTTGTAAAAGATTTGTGCAGATTTTTACATTTGTATATATGATAGGGATGAGCTCCACAGTTCTAGAAATGGACAAAATAATGTGGCTGTTCACTTCTGTAGCAACAATTACGATAAAGTACGTCCTGGCATTTGCATTGCAGTCAGGTGGTTTAGAAGAGTCAGTAATGGGGCTTTTCTTAGGTTCCAACCCTCGCTCTATAAAAGTCAGGGTTCCTAGCAGCCTTTTGTCAGTGTGTGCTGGAGATACCTGGAGTATATAGGGAATTAGAAATTCTGAAGGAACCCTCTGCACACTGGCATTGCAAACTTTGCAATAAAATATAGGGATATTTAGTTCACACATATTGCAATACATGTTTAAGCTGGCCAACTGCGTCAAAGTAATCCCTCTATGGCCAGTCCTACTCTGCTCTGCCTACGCAAATGCTACTGTGGACACAATGGCAATATAGGGGAAAAGACAAAGTGGGGGCGAGCTACCAGGTTCAGGTCTGGCTACTGACCCAACAATACAACAAACAAGATATACCTGTGCTCAAATCCCAACCGCTAGGGCATGCATTTATCCATCAGGTGCTAAAGGGGTGTAACCACATATTAACACTAGAAATTCTGAAGGGCCCTCTGCACACTGGTATATATGCTGTAAAGGGTATATACCAGTGTGCAGAGGGTTCCTTCAGAACTTCTAGTGTTAATATGTGGTTATGCCCCTTTAACACCTGATAGATAAATGCATGTACTAGGTATTGGGATTTGAGCACAGGAATGTCTTGTTTGGAGTACATAGGGAATGCTAACAGAATATTTGCAGGGACTGATGGCTGCTGCTATACAATAAACATCTACTAAAAAGTATTGTATATATTGGTGCTGTACTCAGTCAGAATGTGCTGGAGTGACCTGGAATAGAGCTAACAAAGAGTTTGCAAGGGGGAGAATAATTCTTGCCTGATGTTTCCATCTGAAACTAGAACATACTAAAGTTGTTTAATTAGTGTGCATTGATTCTTTACAATTTTTGTGGCTTTTTTTCTGTGAAAAAATAAATTTTAACTTTGAATTTTTTAAAATTAAAACCTCCCTAGTGTTTCCACCAGAAACTGCAGCCTAATAAAGCCTCTTTATTAGTGTGCATCGACTGTACAGTATTTGAAACTTTTTTTCCTGTGAAATAATACACTTTAATTTTTCATGTCCTGATTAAATCCTGTCTGGTGTCTCTTTATAAAATGCAGCCTATTAAAGCTGCCTATATAGTGTTCATCAATTCTACACAATTGTTGCCTTTTTTTATGCTGTGCATATAATTTCAATCAAGTCTCTATAGCAATCAATGTGTTTGGAAACATTAATATGGTTGTCAGGAAGGGATTCACCAGCTGGTGGCACTGTGGCTCCCAGACCTATAGGCTGCAGTCCCGGGGTCCACCAGTGGGTGTATCTCTACAGCCAGAAGCCCATGGTAATCAGGCATCACCTGTGGCTGGTTGCAGGAAGTGTATTTAACCCTTGCCTGTGTTTCTTCTCTTTCCCTTGGTGTTTGTCCATGAGCCCTTGACCTATATTCCTGCATTCTGATTCTGATCCAGCATCCTGACCCTGCAGCCTGATCTCTTATCTGCCTGCTTATTGCTTCTCCCATTTACCCTCTCCCTGTCTCTGCTTGCTCCCTGCTCCTTCTGCCTGATCTCCCATGTACGACCCTGGCTCTGACACCGACTAAGCTTCTCTTATCCTGCTATTTGGGCAGTTGTTCATTGTTGTTTCACTTATTAGTTTCTTTGGTTTGATTTATACAGTTCTGATATATTGGAGGTGTGTTTATATTTTTTTATATTTGCTTATTCTTAATAAACTACATTATTTTACATTATACTTGTGCCTAGTGTTCTCTGTGCAAGTCCACACATATCTGGTCACACCTATTTCACAGGATACCAAAAAATGGTATCCTTGACAACTGTGCCAAAAATAAAAGTGCTCTTTAAAAATATATGTGAGTCTTTTTCTTCATATTCTGTGATTTCCTGTTCGACAAAGTGCCACAGTGCTTCAGCCAGTAACAAAAGTGTTTCAGTGCTCACACTCCAGTGGTTTGGATAACTTACCAGAAACAAATGACCTTCTAGTAAAAGAAAGGTCTATCAGTGCTTTAAGGCGAGTATTTTCAAGCCAGCAGAGAAACCTTTGCATCTATAGGTACATTGATTCAGTTGATTCCTCCCACAAATGTCAGGACCATGTACATATATACAAATCACAAAGAAGGGGCCTCATTGTGCAAAATTATAAAGTATATTTATTAAAATAAACATATATATTTTAAATATATTCTTCAGATTTTTTTAAACATATAAAAAGTCATTTTAACATATATTTTTACTTATATTTCTAAATGCATTCCAAAAATGTAGATTTGTATTTTTTAAAGACATACAGTATATTTGAAATATATTTTTAAAAATATTTTTTCATATATTTTGTAATAAAAACGCATTTCAGCATACAGTATATAGATTGGCACAGTGGGTGGAGGTAGCTTTTCGGGCATCCATGTGCGGATTCTCCTCTTTGTATTTAACCACTAGCCTACTGGGCACTTATACCCCCTTCCTGCCCAGGCCAATTTTCAGCTTTTAAGCGCTGTTACACTTTGAATGACAATTGCGCGGTCGTGCCACACTATACCCATATGAAATTTTTATCATTTTTTTTGTGACAGATAGAGCTTTATTTTGGTGGTATTTAATCACCTCTGGGATTTTTATTTTTTCTTAAACAAACCAAACTGATAGGTGGCACTGATTGGCATTGATAGGTGGCACAGACTGGCACTGATGGGTGACACTGAAAGGCAGCTCAGATAGGCACTGATATGTGGCATTGATGTGCACTGGTAGGCACTGATATGTGGCACTGATGGGCACTGGCATGAGGCACTGATGAGCACTGACATAAGGCACTGATGGACACTGACAGGTGGCACTGCTGGGGCTACACTGATCATCAGGGCACACTGATCATCAGTGCCCTGATGATCAGTGTACATGTCCCCTCCGTGGAAAGCCGATTACCGGCTCTCTTCTCCTCTCAATCTGTCAGCGTGACAGCTCAAGAGGAGAGAAATGCCGATAACCGGCATTTCCCTATTTACATGTGATCAGCTGTGATTGGACACAGCTGATCACATGACCGAGCCGAAATCTTCGGCTCTTTCCGAGCCGCCGCGCATGCGCAGTGAGAATGGGAGGACATCATATGAACGAGAGAACCACCCAGAACGAGAGAACCACCTTGCGCCCGTCATATTACTATATGGCGGGCGGGAGGTGGTTAAATAAACAAGTGACATCATAAAAAAAATCCTCATGTTTAACAAACGTAATAATGTTTGTACAACAATGAAATGTTAATTTCCACCAAAGTGAAGATCCTCTTTCCACAGAAAAATATGTGCTCTTGAAACATTGTTATATGTGAAACACTCAGTGCTCCATTCTCCAAAGCACATATTTGCATTTACCAGAATTTATGTGACTCTCAATGTCTTGAGAAGTCAAAGCATGCTCTGTACAGACCAGTTGATCCAAAGCCCATATAACTGGATGCACAATGCTCATCTGGAAATCGTACGGTAACCAGCTGACACTGGTTTATTCTAAAAGAATAAAGGAACCATGAGGCTTGTACAGTGTGAATCCTTATAGCAAAGTTTATTAAAATGGTTAAAAACACTTACAAATTCCAAGGAGAAAAAAAGGCCAGTGCAAGAGTACAATCCCCAGAATTCCAATGGCGGGTACACCGAACATGTATGATGACATTGTGATTTCCGGTCCCACCCTATGTGTGTTCCATCACAAATGCCATCATCGGGGTAACGTTATGGAAACATTATGGAAAATAAATAGGCAAACAGACTTGTTAAAGACTGTGTCTGATTGTTTATTTAAACTTGACATTTTTGTCTGAATGAATACATACTAAGTCAAATGAGGAGGCTGTATCATGCTGCCCCCTTATTGGGAGCTTCCAATTTCTCAGATTTTAATCAGCCTGGATCCCAGTGACATCATTGACCAAATATGGGCATGTCTATATATGGTCGATAATATGAACCAAACAGGGGCGGACTGACAACTCATGGGCCCCCCGGGCAATAGGGGATCATGGGGCCCCTGTGTCCTTGCCCAAACTCAAAACAGCCTACGAAAAAGGTACCAGGGGCATCTCATGGGGCCCCCTACTGACCCCGGGCCCTCGGGCAGTGCCCGAGTTTCCAAATGGTCAGTCCGCCCCTGGAACCAAATGACACGCTCCTTTGTATATACCAGCTGTCTCCTGGCATTTTTCCACAGGTTGAGGTTTTTTTTTCTTTTGAGGGGTCAGCAAGCGTATGATTTATATGGGATTACATCACTGGACAATACAATTGATGATGGATGTACATCATGGGAATCTACTGTTTTTTTGGGGGGAGGGGTTTATAAAGTTAGTATCAAAAACAATCACAGTACTTTTTATATAGTTTAAATTTTTTTTCGTGAATGACTAGGGTTACTATACACCCCACAATCATTCACACAGGGGAGACTGGTATCTGGGTGCACCCTTATTGTTAAAATACTCAACATAGGGACGAGGTGCTTTGCCAGAGCCAGGTAAAGGTACTCCTCCTTATGTAACCTGGGGAGGTTCAGAAGGAGTGGTGCACTCTCACCCCCTCCTTTCCTGGCCTACCAGACTGCATGCTTTGATCAGAGTCTGGTATAAAATCATAAAAGTTCCAAAGGCCCTGGTAGGATCTTTGGGGAACCTCCAAGCTGGGTTTGTTTAACTATCTCTGGCTCTTTTGCTTACATGACTGGTTCAATGGAGCCAATGACAGCATTGGTTGTTAAGGACACCTCTTATCATCCTTATCAAGCATTGACTGTGGGAAGCTGTCATGTATAATAACAGCAATAATAGCATATTTGTCAGGTGACTGACTTTTTTTAAAGGAAATGTTGAGCCTGCATGTTCTTACAAGCATGTAAGTGCATTTTAATTGATTTGGGAGTGAAGGACCAACCTACCACAACCCACAGGGCAATAATATATTAAGTGGTAGCCTTGACTGCTTTGTGGGATGTGCTGAGGGTCTCCCTATGGGCTAAATTTATAAAACAGCAAGTGGTAAACTGTGGTATCCTCACATTTCATAGGCTTCTGTGGCACCCTGCGCTAAAGATATGTATTCTTAATTATTGTTTTCAGCCAGCTTTCATTTGTAAGTCTAGTTGTAGGGGTCACCACGATGACATGTTTAATCTAATTATGGAATGCATGTTCTGTTTGAAGTAATTCTACTAACTACTATCCATGACAGTATGTGAAGAAAAAACATATGCATTGTGGGGTTAATTTTTCAGATTTCAGCTCAAAATTGCTTGCGTTGGTTTATAAAATAATATTGATCACACAGAATTTAAAATATGCTGTGAATGAATGCACAAGCATTTTATCCTCCCTACAAATACAAAGAGTATGGCACCCACTTAAATGTTCAATATTTATGGCTGTCTTGTTTAAGCCTAAAATGTACAATTATGTGCTGATCTGTCATGATGAACTAATTCAATGCAAATGAGCTTCTTATTCTTTATAACATCAAACTATGTTAAATTATTTCTCCTTTCTCCAGTCAGGGGTGCTAAATGCCTCCTGTTAAATGGCAACTGATGTTCTATATTCTCTTGTCTAGGTCAATTTAACTTCACAGATTGTCTTCTTTGTCTTAAATGAACTTCAACCATGTACAATCAGGAGTATCAAACTACACCAAAGTAACCTTGTCAATAGCTTTTATCATCTATTATATAATATTCAAGCAATGTTTTTTTTATTGGTGGTTAGCATTGGACTCCAGCTATTATAAAACAGATATTCCCTTCTCGATCCTTAGGCTATACCTTTAAAGCAAATTTATAGTGGTTTGTACATTTTTTTCATTCTATACTTTTTGGGTCCAGACTGAAAAAAGAAAAAGAGTAAAAAATATGTTTTTTTGTGAGGTGAATATGAAATATTGGGTTTTGATATTTGGTATTATGATATACAGACAACGGGTATGCCCTACAGCTGCTTTTATTTCACAATTATTTTATATAGTGATATGACACCATGTAACTCTGATTCTGTAATATCAATTTCACTTGTAGGTAACAAGTAAAATCAAGAATGAGTTAAACTGATATAAATAGCAGTTATACCTACATAAAAGTTAGGTTACATATACTGATACAAGGGGGACTGTGTTTAAAAAAAAAAAAATAGCTGTGTGAATGCCTGTGCTTTTGAACAGCCATAGTGAATAATCCCCATAATGTGTCTAACATGTATTTCCTGTGATTGTTAGCTCCATCTAGAGGCTAGAATGCTTTATTTTCCTGGTTGTAGTATTGTAGGAAAATACCTTTTTTGTGCCCACTAAATGGAGCTGATGAGCCAAAGAAATACACATATTATACATACTGTATAATGGAGATTATTTAACACTGCTGAACATTTGCAGGGTATTTGCACAGTAAGGCTCCATGTACACGGGACACTTCTGAACGATGGAAACTGACTGCTGGAAAACGTAGGTTAAAAAACATCTGTTTAGCCGAGTTTACATACCGCGTTTATTAGCGTTTTGTGTTTAGAAGCGTTTTTTTAAAGATAACCTCAGGAGACCTTCCAAAATGCCCACAATGCACTGAAAAACATTAAAAATAAATGTTTCAGACATTTTGAGAGAAATAGAGAGAGCAGAAGCAAAGAGAGCAGTATTTGTTGAGATTAGCTGTCTTTTTTTTTGTGGTGTTTGGATGTGTTCCAGCTCATTTCTGTGCAGAAATTATTGCAGCAGTGTCTAACATATTTTCTTTCATGCAAAACCTCAAAGTATGCCGTGTACCAGGTTCATTTGAGTGCCAGGAAAACACTTTGCATGCATTTTTCATGATCAAACAAGGATCTGGACAGCATCTGGAAATGGAAGAGTTAAAAAAAATGCAAACGCTTATAAACGCAGTTAGTGTTTGAAACACTGCTAAAATCTACTCCTGAACACAAGTTTGGTGCGTTCAAAAAAACGACTGTAAACTCAACTGCCTGTAAATGATGATGTGTACATGGACACATAGGAAAACATTAGGGGAGAGTTCAGGGGCTGCTGAAAAAAATGTAGAAAAGCTCCTAAACGTGAGTTTATCAGCTGCAGTGTACATGGAGCCTAAATCTTTAAGAGAGTAAGAAATAATTGTGTAGGGAATAAGGGAAGAGAAATATAAAAAAAGTATGTGGGAAAAAGAGAGTATGACGGCTAGAAAGTAAAGTTAGGTCAAGGTAGGTCAAGGTAGGTATGTAGTCCCGGAACTGTTATGAGCTGAACACCTTGAATGTAGAGTGCAGTCACTACAGTGTCAACAGTGTAGGATTGAATCTGGAACCCTAGAGGTTGAAAAATTTGTAGAAAATTAGCATGCATGTCAATAAAGGAGAAGTATGGCCACTTATTTCTGCACTCCTGTGACTCAGATTCAGCCGACATTGTCAGCTAACATCACAGAGCCATTCCAGGTTCTACAGGCATCCCTACAATAATATCGGGATCCACCCAGATGCTTGAGCTTGAGTCAGCCGATCCCATCTCTTGCAAAGCCTAGTGCTCTAGTGAGCACTGGAGGGACATTTCTCTCCCCACGAGCTGTCACGCTGACAGCTCATGAGGAGAGGAGAGCCGATAATCAGCATTCCTCAGAGGGGACATGTACACAGATCATCAGAGCACTGATGATTAATGTGCCGTGATGATCTGTGTAGCCCCAGCAGCGCCACCTGTCAGTGTCCACAGTGCCAGCTCTCAGTGCTCATCCATGCCACCTGCCAGTGCCACATCAGTGCCACATTTCAGTGCCCATCAGTGCCACATCAATGCCATATATCAGTGCCCACCTGAGCTGCCTTTCAGTGTCACCCATCAGTGCCAGTCAGTGCCACCTATCAATGCCAGTCAGTGCCACCTATCAGTGCTGCCAATCAGTGCCAGTCAGTGCCGCCTATCAGTGCCAGTCAGTGTTGCCTAGCAGTGTGCATCAGTGCCACCTATCAGTGCCCATCAGTGCTGTCTATCAGTGCCCCCTAACAGTGCCAGTCAGTGCCACCTATCAGTGCCAGTCAGTGCCACCTATCAGTGTCAGTCAGTGCCGCCTATCAGTGCCGACCTATCAGTGCCATATATGAGTGCTGCCTTTCAATGCCCATCAGTGCCACCTACCAGTGCCTCCTCATCAGTGCCCATCAGTGCCACCTATCAGTGTCCATCAGTGCAGCCTCATTAGCACACATCAGTGAAGGAGAAAAATCACTTATTTACAAAATTTTATAACAAAAACTAAGAAAAAAAACTTTTTTTTTCAAAATTTTCAGTGGTTTTTGGTTTGTTTAAGAAAAAAAAATCCAGAGGTGATTAAATACCACCAAAAAAGAGCTCTATCTGTCTCAAAAAAAATTATAAAAATTTTATATGGGTACAGTGTTGCATGACCGCGCAATTGTCATTCAAAGTAACAGCGCTGAAAGCTGGAAATTGGCCTGGGCAGGAAGGGGGTATAAGTGCCCTGTAGGCTAGTGGTTAAATCTCACACTTCTCTTTTGGGAGTAACTGTCAGGTTCACAGTAGATTCAGCAAACCAAAGAAAAATGTTAAAACTGAACATATCACCATACCCAATTAAGCCAAATCTTGTTTTTTTTTTTTTTTCAAGCCTTTTTTAGTTCAGTTTGCAAGCTTTTGTTAAAAAGGCATGCGCAGCTGGTCACTGCCATAAAGAACATGTATCACTGCAAAAAAATTTATTTTCTAAAAACTGTTCCGCAGGAAGGTCTTTTAATGAAGCCTACAGGGCAACATTAAAAATACACAAAACCTTTAAATAACATGCTTGGGGGACACCTTAAAATACATGTTAAAAACAATACAGAAGTGGGTCTTTATTTGTGGGATCGCATATACAGTATGTGTACTTGTGTTTGTGCTAAGAGTACAGAGACAGAGCTTTCACCGAGTTTCTCATACTAGCGATGGCTGTGGTAGCCTCATATCGGCTGTTTTTTTTTCTCTTTTTGAATGAAGAAAAAAATACATTGTATCTTTTTCTCTTTGCTGGGGGAGAAAAATGTAGATAAAGCAGTGTGTGAAAAAACAAAATAAAGATAAAATAAAAAAAAAAAAGATAGATCAGGGTTTGATCTAAGTTAGCGTTAGAGTTATGATCAAGGTTAGGGTCAAAGGTCATGGCCAGCATCAAATGTCAATGACAAATTGTCAGGCTCAGTGTATTTTAGTTAGGATAAAAAAAAGGGCAGCACAGTGGCTAAATGGTTAGCTCTTCTGCCTGGCAGTACTCGGGTTGCTGGTTTGAATCCCAGCCACGGCACCACCTGCCTGGAGTTTGCAAGTTCTCCCTGTGCCTGCATGGGTTTCCTCCAGGTACTCCAGTTTCCTCCCACTTTCTAAAGACATGCTGGTAGGTGAAATGGTTCCTGTCTAAATTGGCCCTAGTATGTGTATGTATGAATGAATGTAAGTTATGGACCTTAGATTGTACACCCTTTGAGGGTTAGGGACCGATGTGAATGTACAATATATATGTAAAAGCACTGAGTAAATTGATGGCGCTATATAAATACCAGAAATAAATAAATAATAAATAAAACCCCACTGTTTAATTTACAGTAGTATCAGTGTCAGTGTGTTTTAGGTAGTGTCACAACCTGGTTCCTGTCTCCTAGCAGTCATTAGGCTCCAGCAATCAGCTCCACCTAGCTAGGGTACTTAACCTCCCTAGCAGTATTCCCGAGTGTAGCTCGGGGTAAAATGTCAGTACCAAAAGCGGTAACCCCGAGCTACACTCGGGCTTACCATGCGGCGCTGCATAGGGAGTCCCTGCAGAGCTTACCTTGTCCTTCGCTCCCGTGATGTGTCCCCTGCAGCGTCCCCGGCCATCTCCTCCGGCCGATGCCGGCATCCGGCTTCTGTGTTCCGGTCCCTGTGACGTCGGGACGTACGGGCGCCGGCGGCGGGAAATTTGAAAATGTTAAAAAATGTAATTTTTTTCCAAACAAATTTTACATAGTAAAACATTGCTGTTTCAACCCATTTCACATACAATTTGTCCCTAGTGCTTTGTCCTGTGCCCTGCCTGCATTTTGACTGTTCTTTCTGCCTGGAAACTGAGAAACGTCCATGGCGTCCAAAAAGTGTCCCTTTAGGTCAAAAGCAGGTTTAGACCGGCTAGAGAACAGCGATAGTAAATTAGAACTACTTGCAGAATTGAGTGATAATGATTTGTGGGGAAATTCGTCATCAGACACTGAAAACAATTTTGCGACTTTGCTCAGCAATGTGCGAACTTGGCGCTATATTTCAAATTTCAGTGTTTTCGGTTTTGATTATATTATTGAATTAAATGTATTATTATTAAATTATTATTTTTATGATTATTTATTAAATTATAATTTATGATTTTGTGGTTCAAATTTTATCATACCCGGGATGTTTAATAGACTCTTGTTCGGACAGATTTCAGTGAGTTATTCCTAAAAAATTACAGCCTACAATAAAAAAACTACATATTTCCATGCAAAATAATGGTACCGCTTTCAGCACCCAAAAATCTTAAATAATCATACCGCCAGGGAGGTTAAGTTGCACTTCTGTTATGGCTCCTTGTGTCTGTGTTTTCACTGCTCCTGCCTTGTATCCTGTTTGCTGTGTTGCTCCTCTAGGTTTTCCCTGCCTTGCATATTTCACACTTGTGTATGTGTAGGTTTATGTAATTGGTTAGTTGTTAGGTTCCTGCTTTTTGTTATTCAGTTCTAATTTTCAAGCATAAATAAATCTCACTTTAAAGATATATATACAGCATATACTGTACATGATCTGGTCCCAGTTTCTTGGTGTAGCTACATATATCTGGTCAATCCAGCTGCTGGTTCCTGACAGTTTGCATAATGTGAACTGCTGAACTATTGTTTCTGGGCCCTACTATGAGTAAAAACAAGTAATATACACATATGTGGTATCTCTGCAATTGTCAGGAGCAGAAAAATATACTTTGAGTTATTCTTTGGTGGTAGGTTTTGGTAATAGCAAGAAATAAATAGCTAAAAATGAAAAGAAAAATTATATCTTTTTACTGGTTTGTGCCAGTTATCTTTTGCTTATAAAAAAAAAAAATTAGTAGATATCTATTACCATTTATTTCAAATTGCAAGCCCAATGTGTTCTTAACCAGTTCAAGTCCGGACACTTTCACCCCCTTCCTATCCAGGCCAATTTTCAGCTTTCAGTGCTATCACACTTTGACAATTGCGCAGTCAAGCAACACTGTACCCATATGAATTTTTTTAGCATTTTTTTTAAATAGATAAAACTTTATTATGTTGGTATTTATTCACCACTGGGATTTGTATTTTGTTGCTAGATAAATGAAAAAGCCCAACCATTTAAAAAAAAAAGTGTTTTTCTTATAAAATTTTGCAAATAAATAATCTTTTTCATAAATCTTGGCCAAAATGTATTCAGCTATCTTTTTAGTGAAAAAAAAAACCCAAATGATTTTATAACCAAAAATTATAATAAAAAAAAATGTACATATTTATTTATTTTTTTTATATTATTATTTATTTTTTTTTTGTTTTTGTTTTTTTTTTAGCATACTGTCACCCTAGCAGTACAGTTTCACCAAAGTGACACTGTACTACTTGTGGAGGGTGATGAAGATTTTTTTTTTTTAAACTGATTGTTTTTACACCCATAAAATCTGTAAAAGCAATCATTTCTCCTTCTCTCTGTCTGCATTCTTGCAGCCATTGAGAAATACTCTGAGAGCTGTGATTGGTCACAGCTTGTCACATAGTACAAGGCTGTTGTGAATAGCCTTGTACCATGTGACCTCTGTGATCATTCACAGATTTCACTAGTAGTAAGCAATGATGTCAGCAAGTGACATCTTGCTTCCTACTATTCATGTGAACACTGATTGGCCAATCAGTAATCACATGATTGGGACCTCACACAGAGGACACAGCAGGCACCGGATTGCGATGCTGCGTGCTACCAGGGAACGCGCACAGGCAGTGAATGCAGAGGCTGTTTTTAAACAGCCACCCACTCTTGCACTGCTCCCATCCGGCCGTTTATGTATTTGGGCTGGACAGTAAGTGGTTAAAGGATAAGTTCACCCTATGGAACATGTTACATGTTCCACCCATTTTTAGGGTGTAACAAGTAGCATATTCCCATAGCGGCAGCCACCGCCTGCTCACCCCCCCCACCCTCGGGGAGAGAAATCTCCCCATACTCTCTGTCAAATTTGAAAACAGTGCAGCCGTGCTGGGCTCCGCCCACATGGCCGCATCACTCATTCATGGACTTTCGCGAATGATTGAACTGCAAGTCCTGGCAGCCTTAGTGGCTGTGGGCTTGTAGCTTTCAATGAACTACCACTGCACTGTGGAGTGCTGTAGTAGTACATTGAAGCTTCCTGTCAGAATATCTGCTTGCTCATATATCCCGTACGGCAAGCAGATACACTGACAGGTCTACTGGTACAATGCTTTCCAGGCTCCTGTAGACAAAAATAATAAATGCACATTTTTTTTACCTGCAAAAAAAGTGCATTTATTATTTTTGTCTACAAGATGAACTTATCCTTTAAAAAAAACAAGGTAAAATACAGCTGGATAGAATAATCAGTTGTTATGATGTGTGCACTTTTAATAACATGGCAAAGTTGAAAAACTGTGTTCAGAAGGCATTTGTTTTGCCCTCCATCATGAAGGGGTTAAAAGCGATATTTTGTGTTTACAGACAGTGACTGAAGACCAAAAGCGGCAGTGATTTTACTACCGCCTCTAAATGACAGGTCATCTCCTGCTTCAGTTTGTAAATGAAGGGTGGCAAATTACATTTTATCGCCAGCTTCTTTAAAATAAAAAAACTGCACATCTCCTCATGTCCCCTCCAAATGCCTCCTTGAATACAAATCAGACCTTTGGAGGGGGTCTGTGTGCTGTTTTTCTTTTTAAGAACCTG